TTTTTCTTTTTATAATATGGAATGATCAGAAGCAAAGGATTTCGCAAAAAGGCCTCACAAATCTCTACTTTGCCTTGAGACAGTTGTATGGCATTGTGAAGATACGAAAATAAATGGAAGAGCTTAAACTTTTTGAAGTACTTTTGTAAATGAGAGTGAACATATTTAGAAATGTTTCATAGTTATGACATTCTGTGGCTTAAATATCCAACAGACAAATATCAAACCCTTCTCTGTTGCAATACTGTCTTGCTTCATTCAGTCGTGTGATTATAATGCCTGAACTTGTTACCTACATACAATCCACCTCCTCTCTTTGTGAGTGATGCTTAAATATGTTTGATACATTAAATGTTTTTGGAAAATTGCAACAAGACAAGGAGGAATGTTATGTAGATGGAGTTTTGATGGTTTTGAAATATAGCTTAAACTGAATAGCTCAAGATGTGCAGTCATATTAAATCAATGCCGAAAAGTTACAACTCTAATAAATTGTATTTATGCTAATGGTTGAGTCTGATTTACTGCAGCCATTAAAAGTGAAGAATAGGGGCAATAGTCTCCTTAGAACTGCCATTTTCTCTATTTTCTATTTTATCCTTCTACAGTTCCACAAAATGTGCCAACTCCCTCAAGAGTTCACAGCATAAATGGTTACAGCATTGAGGTCACCTGGGACAAACCTGCTGGGGTCATAGGTGTAATTGAGAAGTACATTTTGAAAGCATATGAAGAGGATGGTCCCAATGTACCCATCACTAGTGCTGAGCTTGCTGACACTAGTATGCTCACAGGTAAATGTTGTTAAGTACCATTTTTTAGGCACATCTAATAAGGGGATGCTTATACCTCCTTCTGTTGAGCTATAAAGTATTACTTGTCTATTTTTGTGTACCCACAGCATATATAATGTTTGGAAGGGTAGTATTTGGTGTCAGCATCCCCGTACATAGCAATGTACGGACTTCAAACAACAATAGAAATTAAGGTACAACTCAAATACTAAAAAGCAGTTTTATTTAAGGTATTCCTTCCCCAATCTACCAATGCTTTGGAGGAGAATGCTTTTTATTGTTTGTTGGGTCTTGCTTAGTGTATGTGGTTTTTTTTTCCCTCCCCTGTTGTTACATCCGGTTTACCTAAATGAACTCTACATGTGGGTCTCATAAGATACTATGACCTGATGTGTGAAAGCACTTCATTTACTTGCCTAATGTTGATCATATAAACCTAACTGATTTCAGTGGGAACTAGCATACGTTTATGTTAATCAGATGTTTTACTTGATACCACTTGGACGTGGAGGTAGGTGGTGATGGAATGAAGCAATTTGGGGCCTTGGGTTTAAGGGGTTTGGTCACTGTTGAGCTGTAGGTTGTGGACAGGAACTATAGGCACCATTGCACTTGTGATGTTTTCTGGAGTCTAGGTCTTTTTACCCGTAGGAGGCAGATGTTTTTAGGAAGAAACACTGGACTCTCTGCCACATAAAGAACATTTTCGGACCTCCCTTCCTGTCAGGATAGTGTGGATCTGGCTTTCTGCTCTCTATTAACAGAAAGCCTTTGCTGGCTGCTACAAAGTTGCCTGTGAAGGGAGTATGTTACTGACAACAGCCTGAATTATGTTATGATTAAATGGGGCAATAGTACAAAAATCTTACTTGCGTTGTAAAAAACTGTGACCAATGAATTTGTTTATATACTCTCTAAAATTGATTATATATTCATATCATAACAATTTGAAAAGTGCTAATGACATAATGCTCAAAGCTGAGTTTGGCTCAGCTTTGGACAATATAACCGTCTTAGGAAGTGCCTTAACCCTCAGGCAGTATATAATTTCTGCTTTCCTGAAGCCTAGGTAATACATAAGTATATATGTTTTGTGTTGTTTCTCTGCCATAACGTATGCATACACTTTCAAGAGCAAACATGCACATATTTAATTTTCTTCAGATTGAAATCGCTTGACTATATGTAATGTGCTTACAGTACCAAAACTGCATGGGCTTTCTCTTCTTATTGTGATTTCTTTGAGGAACTTGTTGATTTGAATATTCTTTATCTATGCTGTAAAGCACTACAAATTATAGTAGTAGAAATTAAAAACCATATTAGAAGCATGTGGATTAGATAGCTTATTCACAGCTGATGGTCAGGACCAAAATTTTGTTTAAATTTGTTTGCATTGTGCCATGATTATGTGTCAGGGTTATGAAAAAGTCTACACCAGGCTTGACGGGTAAGAGATTATCTGCATGCAGCTTTCAGGAGGCAGAAGAATAAGACATTCTTTTATATTAAATGGAGATAGTAAATGGATCCTTGTTCTTTAGTCTATTATAGCAGATAGCTGTTGAATACTGCAAAATAAAATGACCTTAAGAACTTAAGAATAGCTGTATTCAACCATTGACCTCTCTGACAATGTCAGATTGTAGATGCTTAGGAAGAAAATGTAAGAAATGTGCTAAGCATAGAGTGAGTCTTCCTGTTAATACAAATTCAGCTAGTAGTTTGTGGAATTCCTGAGCTGAAAGTTGCTTCTGGACCATCATGCTTAATGGTCTGTGATAGAATTGTCTGTCTTTTTTGAATACATTTATGCTTTTGACTTCTGTAACTTGCTATGGCAGTAAGTTTCCCAATTCAGTTTTGTGTGTGTGGAAGGACTGCTTCCTTCTGTCATTTATAACTGCTGCACAGTATTTTAGTCATGTATTTCCAATTTTGGCATTGTATGAAATATGTAATTCATGTCCTCATGGTGAGGTCAGAGCTGAGACAAGTGAAAAATTAAATCACTGATCTTGAAATTATTTTACCTTCAGCCCATTGATTTCAGTGAAGCCTACATAGAAGAACTAGTCTGTGGACATTGAGAAATGGTTGGCCACAAATGTGAAAGTCCCAAGAAAAGGTGTGGCTTTCCCTGCTGAATCATCTTTCCTGGTTAATCAAAATTTAACATAAACAAAGAACCCCACCCTAAGATGCTGTCTTTGCTTACTTTTCCTTTGAGTTTGCTGAGAAGGGAAATTTTGCTTATTTTCTCCCTAATTTCAGGGAAATTTCTTTAGAAATTCCTTTGTTGAATTCCATGAGAAGATACTACAGTAACCCCAACAGCCAGGCTTGCTAATGCAGCAGGAGAGAGGAAAGCACCACAGCTCTCAGTGGGATCATTGATGAAGCAACTCTGGTATTTTTCCACTCCCTCCTTCAAATTTTCATTCACTGTTAAGCTTAGGCACCGCTTAATCTGCTGCTTGCAAATATATCTGAGGGGACTGACAACCCCCTTTAACTTATTTTTCTCCTTGCACCTTTTTATACCCATCTGTTGTGGGGTTTTTTTATACTTAGACTGTAAATTCTTTTGAACAATTACCATGATCTGTTCTGTGCAGTAGGGTCCTGAGTCATAACTGGAGCACAGTAACAAAAAATTATTAATAGCTTTGCCCATTTCCCATAAGGCTATCCTGTGTCTGTCAAATTCAGAAGAACCTGTTGTACCCTTGTCAAGAAGAAGAAAAGCTGAGCTAAATATTACACGTAAAGTAGGTCTTCAAATGAGCATAATCCCATAGTCTCAAATGCCTATTTCTGACTCCTCAGAAACCAAAACCCTTCAAAATCTGACCTTTGTAATCTTCAAAATATCAAACTGTTTTTTCACTTTCATCCAAGAAAGGAATATTCAGCAGATTTAAATCCTTAAAATGAGGTTCTGACTGTTGAGCCAGGAGTTTATTGGATAAGGTAGTTTATTTCAACACAGTGTTCAGGATCTGTATTCTAGAATGAGAGTATAAAGTTAGAGTGTAAATTTCTGGGGTTCAAGGAATACTGCGCTAGCCCATCTTGCCTTCAAGAAAAAAACATATAACAACATTGATACACTTTGGATACAGCCAATCACACTCAGCAGAGTAATAAAGGAAGTACAAGGTCATCATATCAGAGATTTTTTTTTTTTTCTGAAAGGCTGGGTTGCTTTACGCTGCATTCCAGTGCATTCTACATGCTGTTACTATGCTGCCGTCAAAATTTTGAATATAAATTAGAATCAGTATTTAAACAAATGAAAGAAGCCTTAGAACACACTGTTTCTGTGTGTTTTGTGAGCAGCTTTTATTTCTACTTTCTTTTGGAATCCATAGTATCACAGAATCACAGGATTGTTGGGGTTGGGAGGGACCTCTTGAGATCATCTAGTCGATCCCCCCAGCTCAAGCAAGGTCAGCTGGAGCAGTTTTCCCAGGACCATGGTTCTGTTGAATTTTGAGTATCTCCACAGATAGGGATACTCCTCTATGGGAAGCCTGTTCCATTGTTTGACCGTGCTCACAGTAAAAAAGTGGTTTCTTGTGTTTGGGTGGGATTTAATGTAATTTCATTTCAATTTGTGCCCACTGAGTCTTGTCCTGTCACTGGGCATTAGTGGGAAGTGTCCGGTTCCTTCTTTGTTCCCTTCTATCAGGTATTTATACATATTGATAGATCACCCTTGTCTTTTCTGGGCTGATCAGTCCCAGCTCTCTCAGCCTCTCCTCATAAGAGACATGCTCCAGTTACTTTATCATCTTAGTGGCCCTTTTATATCATCCACAAATTTGCTGAGGGTGCTTCCCCATCATCAAGGTCATTAATGACGACGTTAAACAGGATTGGCCCCAGTATCAACCCCTGGGGTACACCACAGCTGTCTTGCCTCTAACTGGATTTTGTGCCACTGACCACAATCCTCTGATGCTTCTCTTGTCAGGCACATAAGGGAAAAACACTTTATAATTCAGGTCGCTCTCATTGTAGAATTCAGGAGATCCACAAGCCTCTAAATTTTACCAGCTCCCAATTACGGGTAGTGAAGAAGGCTAGCAAAAGCTGCAAATAATATTTAAATAAAATATCCTGCAAAAGAATTCACAAACGTTTCGTATTCATATTACAGACTCCTCTTTTTAATTTTGTATGTTTTTCGCAGTTCATCCTGCTTGCGTCGTTGCCGCAACAGCCAAGTGCTGAAGTTGTGGCTGCATGCATGATAACGAGAAAACTGTTGTCGACAGCTTCCCCTCTGAATGCCCTGAATGTTCCCTCCTTCCCTTGACACGTGTTTATAATTACTTTTCACCTTTTAGTCTTTTATGCTCGGCAGATGAATATCTCAGGAAAAGTTAATTTAATGATTTAATATGGTTAATCAAAGTGGCTCGGCTGCGCCTTGGCTTTGAAAGCGCTCTAGCTAGGGAGTCTCTCGGAGAGGAGACGGGGCCTCCTGCCACCGGCTGATAGGCCCGGGCTTGCTGGCGGAGCCACAGGGCCAGGGGAAGCTCGCTGCCCGACTGACAAATGCCCGTGCTCAGGGAAACGCCGCCAGCCGAGAGGTCCTCCCTCCCAGGGAGAGCTCTGCCAGGCCCGAGCAGGTGCTGCCAAAGCAGCCTGAGGTCCTGCGACCGGTTTGGGAGCCCCAGGGCCTGCGGGGGGACAGCCCCAGGGCCAGGCCTCACCGTGCTGCTATGGGCCCCACAAGGCCTGGGGCAACAGCTGGGGGCAGCGGGGGCCGGCTACTCCCCTCAGACTGGGAGCCGAGGGTGGCCATGTCACAGGCTGGGGAGTGCCTGTGCCGACAGGCTTAGACTAAAATGAGAGTTTGCTGCCTAGTGGCTCTTAGACAATGTTGTTTTCTTCGGGGTACTTTGATCTGCATGGGGTCCGTAAGCAATTTACCACAGCCCAGGTAGTTTGTCACGTGAAATTATTAATGAATTACTTGGATATTACTT